GAAGCCGGACTGCAATGGGTCCAGATAATCAGTTTCATCCAAGAGTGCTTGGAGTTGTCCTGCCACCACCCGCTCTAACACCTTGCCCAGAAACGGGATGTTGGCCACTGGTCTATAATTAGTGGCCATCTCTGGATCCAGTGACGCCTTCTTCAGGACCGGTCGGACTACCGCCTCCTTTAAAGGGGCAGGCACCCGACCCTTCCTCAGAGAAGCGTTAACCACTTCCAAGATCCAGATTACACAGAAGAACTATACAAGAAAGCGCTTAACATCCCTGATAACCACGATGGAGTGGTCACTGACCTTGAGCCGGACATCCTGGAATGTGAAGTCAAATGGGCTTTAGGAAGTCTGAGCAGCAACAAAGCTAGTGAAGGTGACAGTATTCCAGCTGAGCTATTCAAAACCTTAAAAGACAATGCAGTAAAAGTGCTACACTCAATATGCCAGCAAATTTGGAAAACGCAACAGTGGCCACAGGATTGGAAAAGGTCAGTTTACATTCCGATCCCAAAGCAGGGCAATGCCAAAGAATGTTCAAACTACCGCACCATTGCACTCATTTCACACGCTAGCAAAGTGATGCTCAAAATCCTACAAGCTAGGCTCCAGCCGTATGTGGACCGAGAACTACCAGAAGTACAGGCAGGATTTCGAAGAGGGAGAGGAACTAGAGATCAAATTGCCAACATACACTGGATCATGGAGAAAGCTAGGGAGTTCCAGAAAAACATCTACTTCTGCTTCATTGACTATGCTAAAACCTTTGATAGTGTGGATCACAACAAATTGTGGCAAGTTCTTAAAGAGATGGGAGTACCAGACCATCTTATTTGTCTCTTGAGAAACCTATATGCGGGTCAACAAGCAACAGTGAGAACTGGACACGGAACCACTGATTGGTTCAAAATTGAGAAAGGAGTTCGGTAAGGCTGTATACTGTCACCCTGCCTATTTAACTTATATGCAGAGCACATCATGAGAAAGGCGGGGCTGAATGAATCACCAGTTGGAATTAAGTTTGCTGGGAGAAATATCCTCAGATATGCAGATGATACCACTCTCATGGCAGAAAGTGAAGAGGAACTAAAGAGCCTCTTGATGTGGGTGAAGGAGGAGAATGCAAAAGTTGGCTTGAAACTCAACATTAAGAAAACTAAGATCATGGCATCCGGTGCTCTCATTTCCTGACAAATAGATGGGGAAGAAATGGAGGTAGTGACAGATTTTATTTTCCTGGGCTCCAAGATCACCGCAGACGGGGACTGCAACTAAGAAATTAAAAGGTTAAAATGCAGAGTATTAAAACAGTGCTTACAATGAACAATAGAAGTAGCACAAATAGCATTAAAAAAATGGAACTCCTAGTTTTGTAATTGTGGAGATTTGATGACTTTAAGTTTTGTATTCCTTAATTTAATGTACTTATTGTGCTAAAAGCCATCAAGGCAAGGAAGAAATTCTAGATGTTCCCTGCAGAAAGCGAAAAGTCTTACATTTGGTGTCCCAGTGGACTTCACTGTACAAAGACTGGTTACATGAGGATGAGCATTTAAAGCAATTTCTAAAGGTAGGTCTCATTTCAACACTATAGGATAATTTTATTTACTTAAGTTTATGTCTGGAACGTGAAGGTTCTCAAAATGCATGTATTGATTTTGTAATAGGTTTCTGCTAGAAACTGGTAAGATTATTAAATGCAAATCAGAGCATGAATTCAGAATCTCTGGGTTGTGTAGATTCCCCATGTGTCCCATAGAAACTTTGGTCATATCTACTCCCCTTCTTATCCCCACCCCATTTTGAGAGGACTCTGCACAGGTAAAGTGGCCTGGTTGACGCAGTACTTGGAGTGCTTCTTCACCTCCTCTCTTGGTCAGGGTCACATGGAATAGGAATTGAACATAGTAGAGTAACAACATTTCAAATGTTCGAGATAGTGTAAATAAAGTCAGAATTATTTGCCAGCAGTGCTACTGTACTTTTGAATAGTGCCGTTGTGATGACTTCAGTTTAGCCATGCAGAAAAGAGATGTACTTGGTAGGTTATGGCAAGCTTTCAGTGATATCCTGAAATGTCACTTTAAAACGTTCTCACAGACAAATGAGAGTTGACACTTTTAACACCATTACTTAGGAATGGTACAGAGACTGCCTCTTAAAACCATCTATCATTGACTGGTGGCTGTTTTATTATGCATTAAGAATTTTAGCTTGAAAGCATTTGTGAAGTTTTGTTTAACAAGCTAACAATTGATTTTCTGAAAGGCACTGGTATGATGTTTTATACTTCAGGCATCTGATCAATTTGGTTGACTCATTTTATGTTTTTTTCTCAAACCTTCCCTGTTTTGAAGACAATATACAGGAATGTGTTAGATGATGTATATGAATATCCTATACTTCAGAAAGACCTGAAAGAATTTCAGAAATTACTAGGAATGCACCGTCGTCAGTAAGTTCTTACATAAATTACTTTTGGGTTATAATTAATCTTTTGTTGACAGTCTTCTTGTTTTATTCGTGTGCTTACCTTGGCTTCTTTGCAGGAGGAAAGAAGGTGGGATATAAATGCACAATAGTAATAGTAATAGCAATAAGCTTAATGTCATGCCTTTAATATTTGTTTGGACAAGCTTTGCTTTGCTACAGCTACAAAGGAATAATTAGAAATGACGTGTTTGGGATACATAAGGCTGATATAGAGAGGAAAAATTCTGATGCCAGCAAACTCTAATTTAATTCAACCTTCCACTATAACTGTATTATAAATATATTTGCTTGTGTTTATTAAATAATATTCACAAGAATATATGACTTTAACAGAGTTTAGACGACAGGATTTGTCACTGATTTTTGTTTGCAGTAAAACACTTTAAGTAAGTGGAAGTTCTGAAGATGCTCGTGTTCACTCCCTGCTTCTCATATTTTTCAAAATATGATTGAATGGATTTATTTCATTTAGTAGTTTTGTGTACCTTATGATTATGATTTTTTTCTCTTAGCTGTGCTAGTGGTTATTACACTTTTTTGGACCCCTCTTCCGTCTGTATATTAGACATCTTAAATGTAGTTCCTACTAACCATATCTATTGTAAAGAATTAATCCTGCCATCATTCCCCTTTTTCCAGCCTGACAATAAACTAATATTCTTGAATTCTATGAGACTTGTTTTCAAGTAAACATGTATAGCAGGGGCTGGGCGACATGTCTCCACCTCCATAATTTTTTAAAGAAACAAAATTTAGCTTGCTAGCTACAAATGTTGGTGGTAAACCACTGACTTCCACTGACTTGAATTTTGTGTGTGCATTTTCCCCATCCCAGTGCAACTGGGTTGGGAGACAAAAATATCCACCAGACCGCCAACAACTGCAAATGCCTGATGTATGAGTTCAATGTGTACTTGTTCTTAACATGTAATTTGTAATGTTCTCTTCTCTCTGTCTCTGTTATAGAGAAGATCTGACATAATATCACTTTTATTGTCTTTGGATAGAGAATAACGTATTTTTGTTTGTTTGCTTGTTTGTTTTAGCACTGTAGATGAATATTCACCGCACAGAAAGGTAATGCAGAATTTTCTAGTATCTTAATTTTATCATTGTTACTTAAAACAGGAAGGCAAGTGGTCAGATGGGAAAAAGGCTGTGCTAGAACAGTAGTATCACTGTTTTTTTTTTAAATTCCTGCTAGTGTAGCTCTGTGTCCAGTCTCTTAGACTGAGTTAAAGTGGCTATGACATTATTAGTGTTCAGCCGATAAGTTCTGAGGTTCCAGAATTCAGCAGAATCCAGTCAGCATATCCTTGCTTGTCTGGAGTTAGATCACTTTGAATCTGTGTAGCCTTCAGCAAGCAAATCAAGGGAAAGATATTGATTGCAAATGTCAGATACTGCAGGTAGGGGCTTTTGTATAATGATGGAAGCGAGAGAATGATAGGGCAAGAGTGCTTGTTTGAGAGATGGTACCACAGGTTTTAGATAGGACTCTGTTACTGTGGAAATGTGATGTAGTGATCAGGAAATACACTAGACTGAAGTATAGAGATGAAATAAGCTTTAAAATACAACTGCAGAAATATAAGCAGTTGGAATGGAATGCACTCCCTGGAGAGGTGCGCCTGGCGCCGAGTTTATATTCTTTTCGGCGCCAGGTTAAGGCCTTTTTATTTAACTGTTATTTTAAAAACTAATTTAAAATTTTAATGTTTAACAGTCACTTTTATTAAACTTATTTAATTGTATTTTTGGTTAATTGTTATTGATTGCTGTTTTATTGTTGTTGTTTTAATGATTGTAAGTCATCCTGAGATGCCATGCATAAGGGACGGCATACAAACGTTATAAATAAATAAATAAATAAGCGGCAGAAAATATGAATTTTCTCCTAAATCCATTGTTATTTGTGAGTTATACAATCTGTACTTTTCCTATTTGTCCATGACTCTCAGCTTAACAACCCAACCCTTATTGGCTAGATTTATTTTTGCCTTCTGCAAGAGGAAGATACCTTCCATAAGAGGAAGGGCTTTACTTGAAAAAGTCCCTCAACCCAGATTCTGGGGATCTCCCTTTCCCCTGCCACAGCACCACTCATTCCACTAAGCAAGAGCTCCTTGCTCTTTGTGTAGCAATTTCAGGACTCTGGAGGGGCTGCTGTGGGAAAGAGGGATCGGGGAGTTCACTTCTCCCATGCCATTGATCCAGCATAACTCAAAATCCAACCCTTCAAGTTTTAAAGTTACTGTCTTTTATTAATTAATTAATTAATTAATTAATTAAATTCCTTTGCAGCATAAAGCCATTTTACATCAGTTCAGTCTCAAGGAGAACTGGCTTCAAAACAGAGCAACTGTGACTGAAACAGAAGAAGGTAAGTCTGAAGAAAGGAAGCAAAGGAAAGAGATGGGATGCTAGTGTTCATAGGGATATGCAACTCTGGAAAACTTTAGCCATTGAAATTGGACTGATGGACTTTCAACACATTTTTGACCTGATGGCCAAGCCAAAAGTGGTCTGAGGTGAAGTGCGGGCAGGGGGGGGGGGTGTTGCTTGGCTTCGGCTTCAACCAAATTGCTTGTAATATTTGCTCAATTTTGGAGCTGTGAACTCCAGAGTTTGTGCATACTATGCAAATTTTTACAAATCAAGGCCAACGCATTGCATTCAAGTTCTTGTTCCTGTTGCAGCATTAAATATGAGAAATATGAAGGAATCCTCCTTTCATTGCTTAGGCACACATTCCTCCTTATCCACCTTGAATTTGTGCAAATTTCCCCAGCTGTTAAAAAGAATGATGTAAATCATGGCCCATTTTAAAAACAGAAACAGATTGATTTTGCATCAGTGCAGGGTTGATGGAATAGCATCTGTGAGGCCAAGCTGAAAAAAACGCATTTTAACCCCTCATCAGTTCCTTACATATCCCTAAGGGCACACCACTTCTACATAAAAACAATACAAAGTTTTCTGTTGGGAAAAGTGAATTTTTATATTTATTTATTTATTTATTAAATTTGTTAAGCTGCCCATTAGCATTATGTTTACAATATAAAATTACAATATAAAATCAGCAAAACCACCAATACATTAATACAATAAAATATCTTAATAAACAAGCACATAATGACATCCAAAAACATACATAGAAATAAAACAGGCATTAACATAATTAAATGAGTAATCATGCAGTCCAGCCTTTCCCATCTGATAACTTCTAGACAACATGATTTGGACTACACCTCCCACAACTGCTGACCACTGGCCATGCTATCCGGGGCTGGCTGGAGTTGAATATCTGGAGTGCACCACATAGGGAAGGCTGAAATCTGTACTGGTACTGCTGCCATTACTTTTATTACTATTGACATATGGTAGATGATTGGAGGATAGTGTGTTTGAAGTGCTAGCAAGAGTTGGGACACAACCTAGCAGAATCCATCCCTCTGGCCTTTGTGGACTTCCCCTTGTGCTTAGCCTGGCCTTAGAAAGCAAGTCAAGGAATTCCATTTCTTTTCCAGGAACATGCTCCTCTGACAATCCATGGCTCTTCCGGGGGCTATTATATTGACAATGACTTTTCATGTCATATGAATGCAGGAGAGCATGAATGGCTAGGGTCAGCTATGGAGCTGCTGAGTAAGAACAGCAACACCTCCTGCCATTTTCTGAAAGCTCATCTGTGCTGCTGCATCCAGCCTCCTTTGCAACTGACTGCGTCTCCACAAATGTCCAGTTGCCACTTCACTTGTTTACTTTTTTCCAGTTCCAGAAAATTGTGCAAATATCTTCATAAATGTTTTTGCTTGTCTTTAGCTGTTTTTTCCACAAGTGTACACGTATACCTCTTCAATATGTGCAGTCTTGCCTTCTCAATGTTCTTGTAGGTTTCAGCTGTCAGAAGGAACACAATATAGTGGGTAACTAACATGCAAGGAAATCAACACGATGAGATAGTGTATAGGTAATCTTGCATGCAGTTCAACCCAGGATGAGCCACTGCATCTTGCTCAGACCTGGAGAGAGTTCAGTCTAGTAGTTAGTGAGTGAAATTTACCCAGTATAACTATCTTCTCTGAAGTCCATTGTACGAGGACTAGACATTGCACAAATATGCACATAAATTGCACTTTTTATCTGGAAACACTGGTGGGGGGATTATTTTTGGTCCTTCTGTGTTTCTAGGAAGAGGAAATTCTGCCTGTAGGTAATGTTCAGCAGCTGCAACTTCTGCCCTCAAAGATTGTTTGTCAAACAAGATGTCAATCAAAGCATTGTAACAATTTGATCCACAAAGATCTTTCACTCATCAATAAAATTTGAATCTGTCTGTTGATAGAATTTTCTCTCTTCACAGTTTTTTGCCGTGTGTATATAACAGAACATTCTTATGTCAGTGTAAAAACTAAAGTATCCACTTCAGCTCAGGAGATCTTGAAAATTGTAGCAGAAAAACTCCAGCATTCACCAGAAGATCTGGCTTTAGTGGCTCTTTCATTCACTGGAGGTAGATTATTTTCAGCTATTTCTTTTTTCTTTCTGTCTCTTATCTATAAAAGAGAGCGTTAACATTTTTCTTGCAAGGATAGGGCTGTTCCCCTTCCTCAGCTGGATGACCATAGTTACAATAAGGAGCTGCTTAGCAGAGAGGGGTTTCCATGACAACTGCTCATTCTTTGGTCCTGTTGGATAATGCATTTCCACATCAGGTCTGGATTGCAAGGGACTTTTCATGTTCAGAAATATGTTATCGGGTTTGCCACTCCTACTCCACAACATAAAATAGCCTTGGAGGGAATTAAAGGCACCTCTAAAAAGGAAGGCATTCCAATACATTCTCCCTTTGGACTAGCTAAGCAGCATTAGTATGTTGGGGTAAGAACTGGAAAATAGGACCTACGTAATTTAAATGTTTTCCAAGCCACTGCAAGTAATGCTTTTTTTCATTTACAGGACATTAGTCCAGAGCTCAGTCCCCCACTTCCTACCTTTTTGTGGAAATGAGTTTTATTATATAATCCTTTAAAAAACAAGTCCTAGTGTCTGGACGCTGTGAAATTACTCAACTCACAAGATTCCACTTTTGATCTATTTTTCTAACCTAGTCTCAGTATTGTACAGTAAGATCTTTAAATCTGTGGAAAGCTGTTTTCTGTTGTTGCACTGCAATGTTACAGAGGGAAATCACTAAAGAAGTGGGGTTAACTGTGAATGTGATGGAGATTATCCAAAGGCTATTGAGTAAATGTATTACACAGCATGGATTTACACTGCTCCTTGCAGTAGAGATGTCTGCCTAGTACATGTAGGCTGGTCCTCTTTAGCAGGATACCAAAGCCAACTTAGAATGCTCTTGCAATTTGCTCTGTGTAATTATTAGTTTGAATACATGCATGTGAATTCATCACCTTTGTTAATGGACTTCTGTATAACTGTACAGAATGCAGTTTGCTGAGCACCTTTCCTGTACAAGCCCCACCAAAGCAAATAGCAGTGGGACACCTGATGAGTACACATGGAATTTTAAAGAACATTTTTATATGTATTTAAAAAGCTTTTCATCACAATGCAATTAGTTGCCATTGCCAACCTGTGCTTGTGCAGCACTGCTATCTAATCAGATTTGACTGCCAGATAAATTATCATAGAAACTTTTGATGCTTCCAGAACATACAAGAAACAGGTTTTTTTTAAATGTGTTTTAAATGGTTAAGTGTTAAGATTTTCTTTTTCCTTTTTGTTCTTCTGTTAAAGAAAAACATGAATTACATCCAGATGACCTTGCAGTCTCCAAATCCCTTGAATCATCTGCTCGTATGTTTGTATTTCGAAAGGATCTGGCAGATAGTCTGGTAAGGCTGTATGTTCTGAATTCTAAAGGCTTCTGGTTTCTTTCAAAAACACACATTTTCTTGAGTGCAGATTTCCCTGTCCCTCTGCAGGCAAAGTTTTCTCTGAAAAATCAAAAAGCCATTCTTTTGATTGTTGTGACAAGGGTGAAGCTTCATGAACGTTACTTTAAAGAGTAACTGAAGACTCAGGAAGGGAACACTTGGTCACTGGGTGGAGTTGCTGTCACTGGCAGTGGCTTGGCCAAACTTGGAAGAACATCAAGGGGGTTTTTTGTTTGTTTTTTGGTCAGTCATGAAGTCATCATGCTGAGTTTGGGCAACATGGCAACCTAAATGAGAACAATCCTAAAACAAGCCATAGGTTTTCAGGGGGCTTATTTATGAGAAACCATGCTGTTTGGACACCATGACAATGTATGCTGGCTGGTTACCCATGGAGGATTGTAGTGTCATGCAAACAAGTGAAGGAAATATTGCTTGCATATTCTTTACAGTTTCTAGAATTTTTGCTCTATATAAATTTAATGTAGTAGCAGATGGATTCTTTCATCTGAATTGGAAAAATGGTGCACAAGTTGTGGTATCGCTAAGGTTTAAATGATTGATGTAAGGCTGCACTTAGCCTAAAGCAATTCCAATTTAATTCAACAGACCTTATTTCTGATGCATGAGACTACAAAATAAGATTAGTTTTTGTTTGAATACTTTACTTAAATATGAAATAGCATTCCATTTTCCAAAAGGTTCTAAATCTTTGACAAAATCAAACAAAACAGATGAATTGTTAAGTAATCAAGGTGGTGTTACATTCTGTAACATATTAGGAAGTTTTCTCTATTTGTAGTCACTATTTTACTTCTTTTTATTTCCACGTCAAGTGTGCTTAGAATTGGCCATTTTTCCTGGTAGAAATGACATTTTTATGAAGTTTGTAAATGGAAGCATACAGCATCTATGTACTGTGATATATTTGTTTGGTTCAGATCTTAGCAAGTCATTTTCCTTTTACTTGCAATACAAAATTTGTTGGTGCATGAATTCAAACCAGAAGCCTGGTAATTTTTGTTATCAGCTGTAGTATGGTATCCAATATTGTGCAACAACTGTTGTTGTTTTAAATAATTGATTCTTAGTGTTGTTGAGTTATCTAATGTAATAAGTATACATTGGTCTCTCCCTATATTGGCGTTATAGAGGTCATAATATGTTAGAGGTCATAATATAAGGATTGATCCCAGTAGCGCTGTAGAAAACACCTTAAGAAGCTGTGGGATTTGATTCTGACTCAGAGCAAGTGGTGGCTAAGGCAGCCAAGGCCTCAGAGCCACAGGAGCTGAAGTTAAGTGAGAATACCACTGGTAGTCCAACAAGCTATTCTGAAACCATGGGAACACCAGACAAGAGGAGAAGGTGCTAGGGATCCCATGGTCAGATAGCAAAGGAGGAGGGAGGAATAGCATAAGACAGTATTAGACTTAAGGCCATTTGCTGCCCAAAAGACTCCCCAGGGAAAGGATCTACCTTGTAAACAGGATTTGGTTAGCATGCTTAGTCAGAATTGGAGGTCTGTAACAATTTCCTAGTGGTTTGCTATCAACTCTCTAACATGCAGCCTTAAATGAAGAAGATGGCTTCATCTACTGTTTGAACAGCTTAACTCTTTCATAGACATTGTTTATAATATGACCTATTGTGTAGACTGAAACTTTTGCCTTTTTTAACAATAAAAGCTGATTGCCTTTGGCGGGAGGCAAGATGGCCTGGGTGCATAATTATTTTAAGGCAGAAATGGTTACTGTAAGGGAACTGAAAAAAGATTACATTTTGTCTGAGATTTCAATTATGTATGCTTGTTCAGGAAGTCTTTCTATCTGTCTGCTGATTTAGAACCCATTTGTTGACAATGAAGAAACCCAACAGCGGTCGGTGAGAATTCTGGGAATTAACACCTGGGACCTTGCTTTGGAATTAACCAATTTTGACTGGAGTCTTTTCAACTTGGTTCATGAGGTAAGAAACAATGGATGAATGTTTAAGCCTGCATTCTCTTGTTTTGTTTGGGCTAATTTCATCATAAGTTTGCTCATATAATTACTTCTTCACATGATCTCAAACTGTAACTTTCTGGGATCAATCCATGAGCAAGATACAGCAGGAATATAGATTCCTGTTTTGAAAAGATGAACACATGTCTACATTTCTATAAACTGATGCTTTAGATCCGGACTGAGTTATAAAGTAGAGCCACTTGAGTCCCATTGATTTCAGGTATAACTAACTTTGAATGAAACCTGATCTGTAGCAATAAAAAGCAAAATACATTTTAAGCTTACAGATAACATTTTGTTGTCATCCAAATACATTTAAAGATATAAATTACATGCAACTTTGGCAAGAAAAAGCCCAGCCGATTTAATCAAGCTCTCTCAGTTTCTCAGAATGAAACCTTCCAGCAACAAATGAAAGTCAAGTCAGAAACAACCCATTTTTACATTTTTCATGCCTGTGATCAGAAGAATAATTGCTAAAAATCTCATAAGATTACTTATGAGTTTGAACTATTTTGACCTGCTTGAAGTTTGTTAATAAATTATTAAAATAAGTTGTCTGATCGAGGATCAACAGTTACATTGTTCAGATTGTTAAATTATGATTTGCAGTATTAAAAGACCAATTATCTTTACTGTCTTCCAGCAAGAGCTGATATACTTCACCTTCAGCAGACAGGGCAGTGAGGAAAACACTGTGAATCTTAGTCTCCTCCTCCAAAGATGCAATGAAGTTCAACTCTGGGTTGCCACAGAAATATTGCTCTGCAGCCAGCTCTGTAAACGTGTACAACTAGTGAAAAAGTTCATTAAAATTGCTGCTCAGTAAGTTGCAAGCAATGGCAATATTAATACTGTTAAATATATTCAACCTTTTAAAAACAGCATTAAATACTAATGAAATAAAAAGTGTTAGCATGTCATACATCTTGGTAAGCACATTGAAATGTAATATAAAATGTTACATGCAACTAAAACAGCAACACCTTTTGTCTAAAGGCCCCTTCTTATTTCTCCCATTCTATGATTCTAACTCTTTCTATCCTTCCACTATAGTCTGAAAAATCTGTGTTACTAAACTCACTAAACTCACTCGGTCTCACTAAACTATTATTATTAATGAATGGCATGTGTCTATTTCACCTGATATCCTGTTGCTAATGAAGAATTCTACATGATCTGCTTCAGTTAGTTATTTAAAATTGTCACCTAAGTTAAAATAGTTTATGAATGTATGATTCAGAAGTATATTTTGTCAGTATCCTGGCTAGTAGTGCATTAATTTCCATGTTTATCAAATACTACATTTGATTCTTTCACAGAAAGGATGAATTATGGGATATTTGCCATATTTTATCACTTTTATATCATTATGATATAGTGCATAAGGAGATAACTACCTAGGGAGCAAAAAAGTTGAGCTTCTGCTTCTGTAGGCATATGGCTGACATTGTGGGAGTTGATGGCGTTCTCTAGAACTTGTAGTCCAGCGAGCTCTATCTAGACCATACAGGAACTCATATGAACAGCCTTGGTCTGATCTTAAGAGTTGCAAAATTAAAGCAGTATAAATTGAGCACTGGAGTTCTTCCATATATTCTAAATATATTTCTGTTCTGATTGTAAGCAAAGATAGCACCAGAAAGATTTTGATATAAATGCGGTTGTTCATTAAAATCCTGAAAATTGATGCAATTCAATTCTAAATGGGAGATTATATTAGACTTATTTGGGGTCTTTTCAGATTACTTTCAAAATTAAAATTAATTAATTAAGGTCCAGGAGAGCAAAATTATAAAGTAAAAATATTGTTGTGAATTATCTCACTTGCTCAGCGGTTTGAGTATCAGTTGACACAGACGTTCAAATCATAGAACCTATTAAAATATTTCCCATAGATTATGAAAGTACACATAGTACCCTGCCCTGGGAATATGCTGAATGGTGGGATATAATAAAATACTACAACAAAATAAATACTTCACAGCTGAGTAGCTTAGCATTAATATTATAATTACCTTACAAACTTGCAGGTAAACTATGGTAAAAGTCTTTCCAAGTTAACAATTTACAGTGTAATATAATGTCCAGTTGACATTTATTTGACACATGGCTGTTTTATCCATTACTTTGAAGCAATGTAGAGATACTGGATTTTTCCAGAACATAAGCTGAAATTTTGTGCTGCTAGGAAAATGAAATGTTCACACCAGATAGTACTACTGTTATGAATGCTGTTCTGCAGAATATGTTCTGTGATGTGACTGTCATGGAGACATCTGTTCCATCTCTTTGTAAAGCATATGCAACTGATAATACCTAATAAATACTCAGTAGAATATGTAGGTTGCACATTAATTAAATCCTCAGTAATAAAGAAGTACTGAATATATTGAAGAATGCAAAAAAGAAAATGAATGGAAGTGTAAGAATTGTAAGAATATGGGCAAGCAACACTGGGGAAAGATTTAATTTAGATAAATGCCAGGCTGTGCAACTAGGGAATACTAAATCCAGGGCCAAGAAGGAGAAACAAGATTGCTTATAAATGATCAGCAGATGTGAAAAGATCCTTCGGTGTTAATACTGAATGAAGCATTAACTGTATGCCACTGTTGCCTATAAATACAATAAAAACTATGATTATATAGAAAGGTATTATATAAATTAAAAGCTATACTGTAGTTTTTCTGAAGGTGCATCCCTATCAGTTTGAACTTTCAAGCAGTGCTGTTTGTCAGGGAGCGAGGGGAGGAAAAGGAGGTTGAACATTTTTACAACCTTTAAAACGTCTTTAAACTCCATCATCTTGACAAATTCTTTTCAGGAGACACCCCAAAAGCATGACATTTTTGAAGGATTTCTATAACTTAGAAAAAAAATTAAAGATGTTTACACACATCAATGCATAGCCTCAAACTTTCAAAAAACTTTTTGCGCCTAATTATATATTAGTAAACTGCAACTACCTTAAGACTACAATCTTAAACATACTTAAAATACAGTTCCATGCAGGTTTAGACAGAAAAAAGTCCCAGACCAGGCTATGTGTGTGGGGTGAGGGGAGACATGCTGCTAGGAATACTGGAGTTGTAGGAGACTTTTTCTGTCTAAAGCTGCATAAGATCACACCTCTACTAGACAATAGACTCCACTGAACATAGATGGATATGCTCCTGAGTAAATATGCAGAGATTGCTCTGTTAATAATTTAATTCCACAAGGGTTTTTAAAGTCAACTGTTTATTTGCATAAACTACATGAAGGGAAGATTAAAAAGAACCTCTTAGTGTTCATGAACAGGGCTGAAACAAAGAGTGTGGGCAGTGTACCTTGAAGTTAAAAAAATGGAGTCAGGACAGTAGCAGACTAGACAAACAGGCTGTGTACAGGCACAAAAAGGATTTTTCATGCAATGCCTACTACCTTCAAAAAGGCAATTTTTGCTTGAAAACCGAAAATGTCACAAAAAATCTACACAGTGCTGCTTGAACATTTGTGAAAGGCTTGGTGGTTGCGAGGGTTTTGATAGCAGAGGTGAGTTATTCTGAAATTAAGGCTGAGTTAGGAAAAGTCCAATTAAGATTGAAGTAGCTTAAAAAAACAACAATCTTGGAACATCTTATTGCATTTATATCTATTGGATCAACACAGAAGATTGTTTTACATACTGTTAATATAATTGGAACAATCCAGCATACATCTTTGTCCCAGTAAGATACAATTTTGTATGAATTGACGCCATGCCTTTTTAAATTTTACAGCTGCAAATCCCAAAGAAACCTAAATTCATTCTTTGCCATTGTTATGGGTCTCAACACTGCATCTGTCAGTCGGCTTTCTCACACATGGGAGGTAATATGATTATTTCATTATTGTAATTTGTCTAAATATTTGTTCTTATTGAATTGTCTTCACAATATATATATAAATAGAAATGTCAAATACAGGCAATAATAGACCTAGGTCATTATTGAAGATTTCTTGAAAATTTCTCATTAAAATATCTTATTAGAATAAACAAATGAAGGTTTCACTGATTCTACTGATAATTATATTTAAGAAATATCAATGTTGAAGTTAATGAAATAGGCTACTTAAAATGTATATGCAAGCTGTATCAAATGATGAACCATTCATAGACGCTTGCCTTGAGTAACAGCTCTAAACTGTACATTGTCCCCATGACACTGTGGAATCTCCATGATGCCAGCATGGAAACAAATCACCTAGTGCAGATCCAAACACTAGATTATATGTGTGACTAAGGTTGCAAAACAGTAGCAATCCCCACGGCTAACTTGACACAGTGGGTTTCCACATTATGCAAAGCTGGACTGCTTCCCAGCAAGTCACCTTGACAATCCATGGGTTGCTAAACTCAATGCATGGTCATTTTTTCCAACCATAGGTGACTGACCTCCATTGCAGCAATAAAAATTCGCAAGCTGCTCAGGAAGAGAGGCAAGAACCCTTTGCTATACTTGCCAAGCTCACCTGTGGCACTGCCAATAGTATCCACTCCGCCAAGAGTTCAAGTAGCGCTTTGGAGCAAACAACACTGGATCAGTCTTCCTGCTTTGCTTGTGGCCCCTTTTGTAGTCACCACAGTTTCTTCCCATTTCTTTTCAGTAATTACTTTTCATGATCTCCAAAGTGCCCAGGGGAAGACACTGGAAATGTATTCACTGATTCATCACTTTTGATAATAAGTTTTTGGTTTTACTTCCAGTCACAAAACCATGGTTAACATTCATGTAGTGTTAGAACTGAGCAGGTCTTAAACATAGCAAATGAAGCAACTGGTTTGCAACTACGGGAGGTGGGTGCCAATTTTTCATGGTACATTTAGGTGCACAGCTTGCTATAGGTCAGTGGTGGCAAACCCATGCCATGCATGCCGCAGCGAGCATGCAGAGCCATCTGTCGGCACATGAGCCAAGTCACCCCAGCATCGCCCCAGCAGCTGAGCTCGGATAACAGTGTGCATAGGGGCCATGCGCATGCTCGGAAAGGAGTAGTGGTGCTAGGAGATGACGTGAAAAGCAGTGACACATTAGCTGCGACTCGTCTGAGCATTCGCATGGCTGGTCAGTGCACTACCAAGGATATATATATGTTTGCTTGGACTGGCTCTCAGTTGTTTTTTCTAAACTAAAACCTCAGTTTTCGGGGGAGGGGGTTTGCAGAGTTGGCACTTTGCAATACATAAGTGGGTTTTTGCTTGCAGTTTGGGGACTCAGTCTGTAAATGGTTCACCATCACTGGGTGAGGGTTAGAAAAACGAAGTATCCTGGCATGCTTTTGATGTTTCGAATGTGCTTAGAATGAGCAGAAATGATGAGCTGTGCAAAAAAGCTACTCAAGGAAGACTTTTTCAAAATCACATTATTTTCAATGGTATTTTACCCCTATATTAGGGTTAGGGGTATGCACCAGGGTAGGGTTAGGGTTAGAAAAACGCGGTGTCCTGGCATGATTTTGATGGTTGGAACGTGTTTAGGATGGGTAGAAATGATTAGCTGTGCAGAAAAAGCTACTCTAGGAAGGCTTTTTCAAAATCGCATCATTTCCAATAGCATTTTACCGCTATATTAGGGTTAGGGTTGTGCACCAGGGTAGGGTTAGGGTTAG